CAAAGACATAAAGTTTGTGTGACCACTTTGGCGATAGACCCACCTATGGATGTCATTATATTATTAAAAAGTGCACCATCTATCCACTAAACCTTTTCTAAATGCTTGTCCTGTGTATGGATACAAGAGGCTGGAGCTGTGTCATGAAATTGTCAGTGTTCTCTGGTGGACAAACCATATAATGAAGACATACATTACCTTAAATGTCCCATATTTTACACTTTTCCAATGTTTTATTTGATATCCATTAGAGGATATATTTGTAAACAAAAACAACAATCTCAGTGTAGTTTTACATCTCTCTCAGACCTCTCTCTGGAGCTCTAGCAACAACAGGTGGGTGTCTGTTTTCTGAGAGACCGTATAAAATTATAGCAGATTTCAGGTAAACACAACAAAACCAAATCCTTCAAGGTTGGATGGTGGGTGCAGGTGGCCAGTTGGCACGATTCACATTTCAATATGCTGAATACTAATTTTCTTGCAGCTCAAGTGTATTATAGGATTCTGTCAATCAAATCGAATAGATAATGATTTGTAACTGACTTACCACATCAGTTAAGTAATGCAAATTCTCTGATTTTCAGCATTTGCAATTAAAATGTTTGGAAAAACGTTAAAAGTGAATATTTCCACGAGACAGTTGCCAGTGAACATCACTTTCCTGCACTGCTCCAGTAAAACTTACCTATCTTCTTCCACATCTAAATTCCTGGTCAGACAGGTAAGACTGTTTTGCTGGATTGTCTTACATACTTCCAGTGTTCCCACTGCTGGTTACATTGCTAAAGGAGCAAAAACTATTTTCTGCTTTGGCTGGAAAACTTTAATTAGGAACCTCCACTGCAACAGTAGCCTATGGACCAGCTGAGCTCTACCCAATTAGCCTCTCGTGTGTCAAAAAATAAAAAGTGGAACTTCGCGTACGTTTTTTTACATCGCATAACAACGTGCCTGTAATTATCTTTTCACGAGGCAAGATACAGTATAGGAGCCTATTAGGATAAGTGTGAGAAAATAATGAGGGTGTCTGGTAATGTCTAGTTTTCCAGTGTTACTCGGTTGCCAATAGCACCTTAATCCACGAAGGGAGAAGGTATAGTTTTAGTAAAAGTCAGACGAGCGAGTCATGAACAGCAAAAATATACATTTTCGGAAAGGTCCAATTTCATGTATTCTCACCTGCTTTCTTTGCCCAAACTGAGAGCCCAGCTGCACCAAGTGTTCAGGGCGAATAAAACCGTCCGAGTCCTCATCACAAACGTCAAACACCTCTTTCATTCTCCTCACAAATGTCAGCAAATATTCCGACTCAGGTATAAAGTCTTCATCCATCCCTTTACTGACTCACTATTTTTTATTTCAGGCTCTTTTACCCCGACGTGACCCACGGTAGCACCGTATTTTATGGAAACCGTTCGGAGTGTGCGCGTGACACAAGAGCTCGTGGATGCTGCTGCGTGCGAGAGAAGTGATGCTGAGGACAAACGAAAGGCTGGAGTAAAAACACAGAGCAGTGCTCTGCATTACATCAACTTTTCCTTCACCTCCTACTCAGTTTGTCATCACTTTTTCATCTTCTGTGAGGTGTTTGCAGTGCTGCCATTGCAACCAACGCTGCTAGAAATTTGCTACAGTGAGTTTAGGGTGGACAAGTCAGGAATTAGAGCTAAACATATTTTACTACATTGCCATTTGTTTTTTTGGAAGTGAGCATGCATAAAAAGAGGCTTGGGTAAGTGAATGTTATGCAGCACAGACTTTATTCCATGCACTGATGTTTCCATGTATAAGTGTGACTTCTTCAGAGCTGGGGTAAAGCTCCTACAGAAAAACAATATGCACAATATGGTTGGTTGAAGGACGTATGAACTGTGTTTTCTACATGTGTGTATAGAGTTCTCTAACATTTTATTCATTGTAATTGTCATTTTTAACAGCCGTTCTTGCACATCCCTGGAAGCTTTATATAGGATGTGATTTGTTTTACTTTTTAAGCTCTGAAGAAAAAACTTGTGCCACAAAAAAACAAAAAACCACCATCTCATAGAATAAAGTTTGCAGTGCATAACTATCAAATGTGCTCCTACCTCTTTCCAAGTTGTTTAAGCTTGTTCATTGCCTGCAGTCATTAAGACCTTTTGTGCAGATGAGCACACCTCCCTACAGCTTTGAATGCATTAGCTACGCAGTGGATTGCTGTGTTTAGTTGACCTCAATTCAAGTCTAAGGAGCAAAATTTATGTAGTTTTCCTATTTTTGTATTTCGTGAATTATTTTACTTTAATTCCAACTTTAAATGTAAATAAATTGTTTTTTTCTTTTCCCACTCTTGGTGTCCTTCAGCCTTACTGCTTTGTCCCAGTTTGGGCTTTAGTGGATACAGTGCAGTAAAACCACCAATGAATTACCACCTGGTGAACCCACTCTGTAACAGTCAAAAGAAAAGTGTGACAGTGCCTCCTTACCCACACTGATATATTTTTGACTGAGGTATACAGTGTTGGTGACGATATGCTTCTTACTGGGCCAATACTTATGCATTTCATACTAAATCTCACTCTTTGGATTATGAAAATGGTTTGTGTAAAAGATGCTTGACATTAAGCTGACTTCCAGGTAATATGTTGAACACTGGGTGTGCAGTCAGGCACAATGAGACACCAGGAGAAGTCCAATACAATCCAATTGTGGTCTATTGCAGTCTTTCAGCTTAATACAGGTGGTAGTGAGTCTAGGCAATGAAGGTGGACAACAATCGATCACTTTAAAAATAAAAATCTAAACAGAAAATATAAATCATCAAGGAAAATATGTAAGATTATCAAGTGTCACACAATTTATAACAACTAGAACATGCTATCTTTAACATAACATCTCAGGCAAAATACTGCAAGGCCTTAAGAACAAAGGAACTCACATTTGTACTCAGGCAAACATTTGTTGCCAGGAGAGAGCCCAGGTTTCGGCCGCACAACAGCTCACACCTGAACTCAATCCTCTTTATAGCCTGTGATAAGCTCCTCCTCCAGTCCTGCTCTTAACGACAGTTTGAGACAATTAATACTGTCCTAACAAATATCCTATACTACCTCTTTAGTTGTTTCAGTTGAAGATGTTTTGATGTCAAGAAAGAAAAACAACAGCTGCATGTGACTGGGATTTATGTGTAAAAACCAGTGAACTTTTTTATGGAAAATGAAAGAGGACATGCCTGCATTTTACAGAACTAACGTTAGAGTGTTCTTGAATTCTTCCTCCTCTGGCTGCACGTTTTGGCCATTTGTGCATACATGGCAGTATTTCTCAACCTGGACCCATGACACTTTAATTTTAGCATCTTATCAGAGACAGTTTTACACCCATGATGGAAGGTGAATGTTGTTAATTAGCTGGAGGAATAGAAACCAGCAGTTTCTGGATCACATGAAAAGTACAGGAGGGAGAGAAACTCATCTCTTCATTTACAGCCTCCTGGAAACTTCATGGTTAAAATGGGGGAATTTTGCATTTTGCTAAGGAAAATGACTCAGAGGTTGCATTTTTAGACTAGAATAACGCTTCCTCTTTCTAAAAAAAAAGTAATTTTCTTCTGTATTTGATGTTGTGATGCACTTACGAAACACTATCATATTTTTAATGTCGTCCTGTTAAACCCACGTTCCTTAAAGGCTGAAATGCAGGTGATGTGTTTTTAATGGTTTTAAATGGTTTTAAAATGTTGTTGCATTTGAGTTGTTGTTGAGTTTCCTCTGCTCTCTTTTTTTTTTTTTTTTATAAACAGTGGCTCTTAAAGAAAAAGTGTCAGAAACCTGCACCTCGGAAGGTTTTTATGTCTTGCCCAGACCTAGTCTTACATTAGATGAATGATAATGAAACATGAGTCTTTCCAGAGTAATGTGGAAAGGAGGATTTACAATTTTGAGATTAAATTAAAATTAAATGTATAACGTGCACTTTAATTGTCCTTTGGGCTTGAGTTCCAGTCTAGCAAACTAACTTCCTCTGCTTCACGGAGATTTAAGCTTGGAGTTTGGAGTTGTTGATACAGTTTATAAACATCTTGTTCTATCTAACAATGACCTAATTCTTGGTCACTATTATCAAATTTCTCTTTTTTGCCATCATCTCCAGATGTGTCTGCTACAAACTTTTCCCACACTTATATGCCCACTTATTTTTTGCATAATGAAAATGAGGCTTTTGCCCAGACTTGATCAAACTTTTCTTTGAAATGCATAAAATGTACCAAAAAATATCCATGTATTGTGTTTAGGGGAGATGCAGGCCATCTCTGTGAATACAAAATGAGATCAGGATTTTTATAAAATTCCCAATAGAACTCTATTTATAAGTTAGTTGAACATGTGGTATTCTGCAATAAGTATTTAGTCTTTATTTGCACAAACAAACAATAAAACTACAATATTAGCACTATGACAGTATTTCTAGTACAATATATATGATAATCTTATTGAAGCTATGCTAGAAGCACTTTGTCATAATAGCATTCTTGACTCAAAACAGTTGAAAACAAATTAACATTTCCTCCATTTTTATTGTATCATAGAAAGACGAATCCTAGAATTGAACATCATATATTAATTTCAAGAAATGAATGTACTAATGTGATGGGTAACATCATTCTGATGTTGAATTACAACATAACTTTAATTCAATAAAGATGACAACAGACATATTTGACCCTAAAAAAAACAGTTTATTGTCAAGCACAACTATAACGTCTTAATGGCAACAGATGACATGGTGTGGAATACTAGTTATTCTAAGTCTCCATTAATGTGCTGATGCTGTAACATTTTCATATGTGGTTTAATGACACTCAGGCCTCCTATTTATATTTATCATACCATTCACATCCGAGCAGTTCCAAAAAGGGAAATGTGTTTACAGGTTCGACTTCCCCCATCGTTCTTTCTTTAAGAGGATGTCGTATGTATTAAGAAAACAGAGAGAGAGAGGGAGAGGAAGAGAGTGAGAGAGCGGAGAGAGAGAGAGAGAAGCAGCCTGTGCTTGTAAGTGCTTTCATACTTCAGCCAGTCTGATTCTTGTGTCAAAGATGCAGGTTGTTAGTGGTGGACGATCACTTTGGATATATACTCTGATATTTACTTCTCTACAACTTTGGGGTAAGTATAAGCATGATTCTAAATACAATCTTGTCATAATTATTTCTTTTGTTTTGTCCAAAAACTAAAAAACACAAACTAAGAATACATTTCAGGAGAACTATGAATTTGCTGATTTTTTTTAATCGATTTTTTTTGGCATGTAGAAGAAGCAAACAATAGTTCAATTCTGTCTGTTTATGTTAAATTTACTTAATATCTGATTTACAGGCTCTATTTCTAATTTCCTGTCCCAATTTCAATTCCTCAGCAGCTGCAATCATCAGTTTGGTACAAAGTGAGCGTTACCACATGTAGCAACTGCAGTAGTGTTTTTACACATCTGCTGCACTGTTGCTCATCTCGTAAGAAATGTGTGAAACTCAACTGATTCCTGCTGTATGTCACACCTTTCTCTCGTGTCCAGGAAGACTTTCTGCTTCCACTTCCTCTCCCACTCTTCCAGCACCTACCCTGAACATCTACTTAAGATCAAATGACTCAGTGACCCTAATCTGCAAGGTCCCAGAGGGTCATCATGGGTTTCTCTTCATGTTGTACAAGATCAGAGAGAACGTAATTTTTCTTTTCTTTTTATAAGAATGTGTGTATGGTTTTCGAGTGTTTTGGGCTACCACTTGGTTCCTATGATTTTATTTTTTTCCTGTACTTTTTTTCATTCACGTAGGTGGACTCCCAGGAGCTGCAGTCTGGTACTGATGAGGTTAAATTCACCTTCAGGGTACCTGAAGGGGACTCAGGTGAACTGTTCTGCTGTCTGTACAGGGACCAGGGAGGCCGATACAGTGCATTCAGTCCCTATTTGAGACTGGAGCAGCAAAGAGGTTTGTATGTTTTTTGTCAGAGATGTATATCTTGACTATCTTGGTCTGTGGTCTTCTCATATCACCCAAATCATCATTTTAGTAAATGGAAAGAAGCAAGACACTGGTCCATATAGGGGACAAAGCAGATAGATGATGAGGTCAAGGCTGTAGCTTTACATTTAAACAAGGAACAAAGGAATTTAAGTTTGAGTTGATCTGTTCAATCTGTGCCAGGGGTTAATTCTACACGTGGTATAGAATAATAAACACTCACATCCGCTCCTCTCTAACTCTTAAAGCACACTGCTGCATGCAGGTGCTCTCTGTGAGCTCTTATTGTCTTCTGCTCTATGGGTGTGTAGCTGTAGTTACATCCTGCATTTCATATAGAAACCACACACACACACACACCCAGAAAACATCAAACACAATGTGCACTGGCTTGCAATGTTGACGGTTACAGAAGGAAGTCTGGCTACCAACAGCGACAAACCAAGGTTCACAGCATCATGTTAGGTTTTACGTGATTTATGTGCCAATGGATGATCTGTAAAAATAATGAGAAAGAATATGTAGATAAATGTCTCCTTCTCCTCTCCTTATTTGTACTTCCCCAGAAACTGCCCCAACTCGCTCCATACCCTCTTTCCCTTCTCCAGTCTTGTCTATGGTGCCGTCTACTGGTGTGGTAAAACGTGGGGACATGCTGACCTTCAGCTGCTCAGTCCCTGATCTTTCATCTCAGACTCAGTCCCAGTCTGGCTACAACAACAAACCAGACACCTTCCTTTTGCTGAAGTATGCTGAGCACACAGGGACCACATCTATTATAGCCCAGCCTCAGGCCAGTCAGGTATCAAGCCCTGAACCTCAGCCAGGAGTCTTTACTGTGGGGCCAGTGAGGGGAGAAGAGGAGGGAGAGTATACCTGTATCTACCAGATCACCAAAAAAAGGCGACTGGTTAATTCAACTGTTAGCAACATGATTCAAGTCACAGTCACAGGTGAGGATGTCCCAGATAACCTTTCAATTCACTTCCAACAGTATCCCTGTTGAACGTTCTTCTGTTAATTCACTGACTAAATGTTTTAGTAAAGATTTATTCTATTATTCTATTATTCTATTACTTTATTGATTAAAAAAATGACATTGTCGTGCTATAGTGTGTAAGGCAGTGTTTTTACTGCTATTATGATGACTGTAAAAAAAACAAGCAAAAACAATCCAGCAACTGGATTAATCACTGTATGCATGGACATTTGCAAAAAAAGGTGATTGTTGGCTTTTGTCATCAGAATTTGATGGAAATTATTACAGTGTTTACTGAAAATTTGGAAAATGTACTCGGGCATCATTTTCCTTATTAATCAATAAATCATTTGGTCTAGAAAATGTCAAACAATACTGAAAACCACCCTCCATCACAGTTTCACTAAGGCCAAGTTGAATGATTTGAGAAGCTTTAACTGGCGAATATTCTCATATCATTACTTTAAAAATTACTTAAATGATTAATCGATTATTATGATTATTGCAGATTCATTTTCTACCCATTAACTTAATGATTCATTGAACAATTGTTTCAGCTCTAGTTGAAGCAACTTATTTATGTTACCTAGGAACATATATATATTTTTCATGGCAGTACTTTTCATGTTTCCTCTGGTTTTATCTGTTGCCAGATTTGCTCCCACTGCCCACTCTTGTTCTCCAACAGCAGACAGACGTTTGGCATTTGCTCTGCACAGGGTCTCCTGCATACCCTGGTGCTGTGTTCTACCTCTACCTGGCAGATAATGAACATCCCATTGCCACTCACCAGGCCAAAGTGATCCACCATCAGGCCACTTTCCCAGTGCCTGTCCAGGAAACTCTTTTGGTTTTTTACAAATGCCAGTACAGTGTTCTTCTGGGAAAGAAGTCTGAGCTCAGCCACTCTCTGGCTGTAAGCAGAGGTACAGATCTAGGCTCATACAGTATGTGTTTGGTGTGGTCAGAAGTTTTTGCAAAAATGTGGCTGATTGCTTCTTTTCTCGTCTTTCAGGAATTTCCCCTCCCTCATCATTAGGTAGGTGTACAATATCATGTCATTATTTCATTAGGGGTTTTCTTTCATGGGGATTTTGAGTTTCAGGAAGTAAAAGCCAAAAGATTAAGCAGACTTTCTTAAAATATATCACGACTGTCTGAGGTGCAAGGAAATTCATTACTGAACACTTTAAGTAGCTACAACTACTGAACTACTACAGTGGTCCTGAACAAAAAAAAAAAGTTTTATATCTTACAATCCTTTTTGTACCTGACAATAATGCCTACGTGATGTCTGCAGATTCGTCAGGTGTGGACTGGCCTCTTGTACTGGGCTCTTTCTCTGCTGTGGTATTATTCCTCCTTTCAGTGTTACTCGTGGTTCTGGTGGCGCTCAGGAAAGGTATTTCACACATGAATCTCTGCTTCTCGCACTAATACATCTACACCACTACGAAAGCCCTCCTTCGTGAAATGTATTATTTCCCCACTCACTTCTTTTTTCACTCTCCTTCAAACAGCAAAAGCAGCAGCTGAGAAAGAGAAGAAAAGGTATTGTAAAAGCAGAGTTTTCGACAATCAGATGATAAATATATTTATCAATACAGAATAATTTTTTCCCTTAAGTTTGATTTATTAGACAGTAAGAACGTTTTACAGGCCTTCATTTATAATTGCTGAGAATTAAATATGTTATAGTTTTAAAATCTATACTGTCTCTCAGACAAGATTGATATCTCTTTATTAATCATATGAATACCCAGCATTTAACAGTATAAGCTTGCCTTTACATTGTTATCAAGCTGATTTTCTTATAACTTGGTACATGAAATGCATTACTGCAGTGCAGCATTGGTATATGATCATCTGCTGTGTTGAACTGTCTCAGGCAGGATGGACAATTCTGGGCTGTAAATGCTAAGGACCATATTGTTGGTGAGTTCTTCTCTTCAGAAGTACACTTCCTCCTCTGGATTTGTAGCTACTTTAATTCTTTAAAAAAAAAAAACATCAGATTCCTCTTATTTCCTCCAGGATATTTTAATAGTTGTGCAAAATTCCAAGTAAAGAGAAACAGATATACAAATGACTGATTGTTATTGTACCTACTTGTTGTTTTTACAGACCCTCCACTCAGGTGTTCAAGCTTCACCTCTGAGGTAAATATGAATCAAAACCCTGATCTCCAATGGCTACTAAAAAAACTTGGATGATTTATCGGTTATGAGTAAGCTTGCAATAGCTTCCTTTTACTTTTGTGCCTCATATTTAACTTTCCATACCAGTATTTTGAGATTTACGTCTTAAGAAAACTTCATAGGAGACTTGATTCAGTCTTCATCTCTCTGACATTAGTCCGCCTCTTTCTTTTGGTATTTCTGGTATTTCAGCTGCCTCTATGTTTCTGCTGTAAGTTCACTGTCACACACAGTTGTGAACTTCCCTGATCCCTTTGCTGTAAGCACACAATCATACACATATATACACACACATACACACACACACGCACTGCCAATCACCAAACACACGATCAGCTCAAGCCCACACATATTCCTCATTAGTAGTGGTGTGCAGTGTTTGGGTCCGCCTCTCATTAGTTGTAATCACTTTCATTAATTAGCCTGATGATGGGCTCTCATTAGACTAGAGGCTCTCTGCAGGCTCGCTCTTTCTCTCTGTGCATTCTTACTGAGCTGCCACCTCAGGAGGGCAGGACGCCGGCTGACACAAAAACTAACCGGCCGTCATCAACCAGCCACAACAGAAAATGAATATTTGATATCAGATGTGTCGTGCTTAGCAGTGAGAGTGATCGTCTCATATTTTCTACTTAAAGAGCATTCATTTCATCAAGAATTACCTCTATTCTTTAAAGTATAATCTGAAAGGCAGAATGACAGAATTACACATATGTCAAAAAGAACAACTTCCAAGGACTGATGAAGGCTGGTGGAGCATGGAGAGAAAGATCAGACATGGTGATGTCTGAAATAGTGCATGTAGGAACTCTGACAGTGTGGGAAAGCAGAAGTGAAAGCTGAACCACAGCTACAGCAGAAATTCACCCTTAGAGAAATTAGGGGAGAATGCAAGACAAAAGATCCTCCTTATTCAACTTTTCCTACAGATTCATTTAAATAATAGTTAGTAGATTCTTTACTGTTATTTACTACTAATATTAAAAGATTATCATTTACAAAACGATCATGCTTGAGACTGATGTGCTGTATTTAGGAACGGTGTGACAGGAAATCATATTTAACGCAGTGGAAAGCAGTGGTAGGATATAGACTATGCCACAGGAAATGACAAGCTGAGGACTTTAATAGCTTATCTGTGTGTGTTTGTGTTTGTGTTTGTGTTTACTTATGTGCAGGAGTGGGCCAATGGGGACACAGAGACAGCCTCCAGATCTCCATTATGGAACTCTCTCTCCACGTTCACATCCCCCATCCATTAGAAATGTTTGTTCTTTTGTTGCCTCTCTCTCTCTCTCTCTCTCTCTCTCTCCCCCTACTTCATGTGTGTGTTTATACTTTATCACAGCTTATCCGCGTAGCATCAGTTGGAGTTGCACAGCTGGACAGGAAGAAGCTGTTTCCTAAATTCCTATTTCATGCGCAGCAGTAAAATTGAACAGTTCGACGGGATGTGATGTTTGATGTCTGATCTTTCATGAAACTGAGCAAGATAATTTAAATACAGATTTTATTAGGATTATTATTATGAATAATTATTCTTGACCTTGGAAAAAGCAGGTGACAAAAACATCTCTCCTCGAGGTCCATTTAGCAGCTGCTCTGGGGCTTTCAGCTACACCAGAGGATCTTCATCAGCAGATGGAGTTTGCCCACATGTCATGGAATTTTATATTAGCTGCTAAATGAACTTTGTCATGTGAAGTCAAATAATCAACCCGTCTAACAGTTATGGCTTAACTAATATTTCAAATTATTTCACAGTGCTATTTGTAGGTTTGCAGGTCATTCCAGCTCCATCAACATTATTTAAAGTATGTACATTTACACGTGCTTGAACATTGTTTTTTTTTCTTGAAGTTATTAAAGTTTTTTTTAAAATTTATATAGCACTTACTGTTTCAAAACCAGAAGAAAAAATGAACAAAAAACAAACAGACAAAAAACATACAAAGTCAAATACATGTAAAACAGCAGAATAGTGATATAAACATACATGTTACAGATCTGTTGCATACATACCAACTTACAGACACACATAAATACACACATGCAAACTAATTACTAAATAACAATTACATGTTGCTGGCCTGAAAAACTTTATTATCAAAATTTGAAGTAAAAAATTGATTTGTACCAAACAAATCAAATTCTCTTGTTTCAAGGAAAGTGATAATTTATAATCTCAATCTGAGACTGTGATTTATGATGGTGTGTGACGTGATTCATTTCAAAGTGAGAAAATTCTTTTGATTTGTTTGTAGGAAACCATATTTTCACTCTGCGTTTACATTATCCTTTGCAGTGTAAAATCATTGTAATTTATATTAAATAAACTTTTTTTTTAATGAACTGAGTGTAATTAGATACGTTTGCCAGCTTCAAGTTGAAGTTGTTTAATTAGCTAACACTGTCAGAGCTTAAAATCATGAGTTCAGTTGACTGAATGGCCAAACGATCATTCAATTAACTCATCAGTTTAAGTCCTTTAAAAGCTTTGGCAGCTTATTTGCATGTACCTCCCAGCATGCATTGCATAAATGTTACAAAAATAAGTTACATGATGGAGGTTGTAATGTGTCTTTTTATACACGTCTCAGAGGGTCAGATGGTCAAAATCAAAGCAATGCGAACCATGATGAAGACAGGCACTGTGTGTACTTTAGACACTTCCTGAACCCTTCTGATGAAACACACTTGAGTCACAGAGTCATAATGAGAAACAAGCTTCTTGGGCTGTCTGTGACGGAAGAGGCTTGATAAGGTAAAATAGATGACAAAAAATAATTTAATTTATAAATAAGTTAACAGACATAAAATGCTACATTGGATAAACTCAAACCCTACATCGAAGAGATTAAAATCATCATACTCAAAATCTTACTCAACGTTGCTGCATTGAAATTTTGAGTTTTCCCAATTTTCTGTTTTTTTCAGTTGAATTAAATGAGGTTATAAATAACCTTCTGATAAAAAAATGATAATTTTGCAAATGCAGACTGAGGTTCTCCAACTGCAAAATCTCTGTTCCTCTTTAGTCTTGTATCTTAGCATGTGCACAGCACACACATACACTGTGTATAGCAACTGTGAGGGAAAAGGCAACAAGCAACACTTACTGAAAATGGACTGCTGTAGTTTTGCTAAACGTTCTGCAGAGGGCACCGTTTATATATAATCTGAAAGTCAAGAACACACCTGCAGCACCAAGAGTGTGATTTACTAAGCCGGTCTCCTTTATAATGACAAAGCAGGTGCGGTGTTCAGTGGAACAATGTGACTCTGATGGTGCATAAAGTCAATGATGTACCCGCAGTAATACAATAGCAGCTGAAAAGTACTGCAGCTGACTTTTGTGCCATGTGATGTTGGGACAAGCAACAACCCTGAGGACATTGTGTTTGAGCCCTCATATCTGTATTTGTTTTGTTTTTTTTTCTTCTTTTATTATTGTAAGTAATTGTGCTGAGACTTCAGTATTATGTGAAAGTAAGAAAGTAAATGGACTCATAAGAGAGATACACCTCCCACCTGTTTATGTGTTTTTTTTTTTTTTTTTTTTTTATGGTGGGCGATAACTCAGCAGAGAAGGGTTGTCACTGTATTCCAGGAAGCAGCAGAAAGCTAACTCTGTATTTAGTACAAGGTTTTATTACATTTTACTGGCCTCCGCAGCAGCAGCAGCAGCAGCAGCAGCACTGAGCTTTCTATCAGTGGCTGACAGGGGAAGTATTTATTCCTTTCTTGTTCCTGCAAAAAGAGAAAAAGAAGTGGGATGAGATGCGGGGACAGACTTCGATGAATATGAGGGTTGCAACGTCTGCTTGATTTGTCGAACTTATATTCATGTCTGAGTCATAGTTTACTCTCCTCGTGTGGTCACACACAAGCATATGCACACACAGTGAAGATATTCAGCTCCAGATAATAGCATTCGGCAGGTCTGTTTGAATAAGAGGCAGAATAACGATAAGAGCCCTCAGTCATGTGAGCTCAACATGCTGATGAACTTAAGTGGTGTCATCATTTCCACCCGCAGCACACCGGCCTCTAACAGACTGCCTGTGTGTTTCTGTGTGTGCATATGTGACGCGCTGAATCATGAGTCAGGTCGATATCAAATGACTTATGAAATCTCGAAACTCAAGTTAATTGCCCTTTTTTTATGCCACCCAGAGCTGCATCTCCAATGTATTAGCTAAAGGAGTGTGTGCAGAGACTAAACGTGAAGGTGTGTTCCGAAATCAAAGTCTGTGGCAGGTGTGAGCATTTCATATACAGTTTGGCAGCTCGTTTGATTTTAATTTAATTTAATCTGATGCAATGAACCTCATTAATTTAGTAAGTCAGCACTAAAGCAAGGATTTATATTGGGTGGCAATACATTTCATGTGATTATCTTCAATAGACTGTGTCAAAGAAATATGCTATTACTTTGTTTTCTGAACATTTCAGAGAAATTAGCTCAAGGCCAGCGGTTGGCCAGTTCAGTGACTTCATGTGAACACTCAGACAGTCTTGTGAAATAATTCATGATTCAAGGGCAAGAGCAAATGTGAATTATTGAGTGTAATGTTTTTCAGGCAAATATACAAAGCATGAAAAGTGAGCACAGAATTTAAAAGTACTTTGAACCTTATGGCACTCTTCACCTACTGACTGCAGAGCAAACACTATACTGTATATGGCAAAACACTGTGGCGACAGCTTAAAACAAAGCTGATATACATCACAGTAAAAACAGTCTTGTTTTTGATCAGTGTTTCCAGAGTCCTTTTTTAAAACAGGCAAATAAATGGAGGGTAGAGCTTTCGCAACCAAAGACCATGTATTATTCAGTTTAATTTAAAACATGAAATTCACCAAAACTGGAATTACAGGTGTTCCGACAGTGTCAGTTTCAGCAACCTGGTTAAACAATGACAGCCTGAAAGTGCCTCCGGTTTTAATCACTGACAGTCTGAGAAGTGCCGCACAGGTCAGACGCCTCCTGGCTGCTGCACAGGGAAATATCTTGTTATGAATATTGCCACAATCTCTATTATAGGAAGTTGTTTTTGTTTTAATTTGTCTAATGGAAAAGGAGTCTTAGTTTAAAAAGATCTTATTTTGTTAGAACAACTAAAAAATAATGCCAAGTGATTTGGAACAGATATATAAGTTTATGTCACTTATGAGAAAACAAAATAATTAAGACACAGTAATTGACAAAATAACATTACCACAGACAATTTCATGTTAAGATGGAGATATGTGTTTGCAGCAAAAGAACACACGGGTCTTCTCCTCCCCACCATACAATAAAACACAGACTGCATGAAATTCTCTGTCATGGCTTTATGTTAATTCTCTGTGACTCAGCTTTGCCATTTTATTCCCCCCTCCTCTCTCCAACATCAAAGTAGCAGAACACACCCCCACACCAAGCATTATGATGTGCAAAAGGCCCATATGCGAGGAAAGCAAATGACTAATCTCTGAATCTCTTTTATTTTCTGTTGACAGAACGCACACACACACACACACACACACACACACACACACACACACACACACGCACACACACACACACACACACACACACACTGATTGGAGACTGGAGGGGGGCCTGTGTGTATAACTTCAAACACATACAGCACATAGTGGCTGCATGAGTTGTGACTGTGTAGACAGATGAAACTGGCCTACTGGCCCATGCATAAGGGTATGTTTTCCATGGCTGCAGTGATATGGTAATATGACTATAGTGGTGGAAGGGGTATTAGATTATTATGTAAAAGTAGCAATATCAAAATAAAAATACTCATTTACAAGTAAAAGTCCTGCTTTTAACAATGTTACTTTACCGGTCTGGAGCTAATTTGAGCTATTTTAATACTACTGGGCTGTTTAATTTATAGCAAATTATCCTATTTTATAGGATTGTGAATAATATTTTTATAAGATGACTTATACCATGTTTTGTATGAAAACTATAATCTGCAAAGTATTTAGTAACTATAGCTGTTAAATAAATATAGTGGAGTAAAACAGTCCAATGTGAAATTAATTGTTTCAAATCAATTCCTATTGTAACCTAAAAAGTCTTTTAGTTAATGCACAGCTGATCAGTTGAACATGCAAAGATGGGACATTTGTCAACTACGAATATGGAAAGTAGGTCTTTAATAATTACTGAATATTTTCTTGGGTTTAAATTGAGGTTTCTGTCAAGGAAATTTATATTTTTCTAAATAATTAGCCCCAAAGTATACAGTATATAATTCTTTCCAGCAAACCTTGGAGATTCCAAGGAAATTAAGGGCCTGTATTATAAAGTGTACCTATCATTTTCTATGAAATGTAGTGAAGCAGAAGTGGCATAAATTGGCAGTACCCAAATATTTACAAGTGCCTTAAAATGATATGTAATTAAAGTGCTTGAGTGAATATATCTAGTTACATTCCACCACTGCAAGGGAGAGTTTATTTCTACACAAACACACAGACATTTGAGTACAAACAGAACTTCCTGCACTCACATATCAAATCCAAATACCACACAAATACTCATCCCCTCCACTTCTCCACATACTTTTGTTCTCTTGACAAAGAGGCATTAGAAGAGCAGCAGCTAATCCTCTAAACGCTGGCCGTCTCTTACAATGCTGCTTCGATGACTTCCTGCAAGTAGGACTTTGGAAGACAGTGATAATGAAATATCATGGAAATGAGTCTGGAGCTGAACAGGTGATAGACAGGTATGCAGGTTTATTATTGGGTCACCACATCTGAGTGCCAGCCAGATTAGATATCAGAGTGAGAAATAACCTGGAAAGTGCACTTTGCTTGCCTTGTTAGGTTGCCATGTTTGATAGTGTGAGCACAAAAAATTAATCCTTGATCTCTATCTTAGGTCACAAAAAAGAAACAAGTATATTTTACAATTCCTATACTCTCAGTGTCAAGCTTTGGTCTTGTAGGGAGTGTGTATGATTTGCTACATTTGTTTTATACATCAGTTTAATCCCGAGCTGATGTGGCATCAAGCCTGGCAACATAATACAACATGAGAGATGTTTCCTAGTGAGGAATGAAGTTTATTAATAATTGTGAAGTTGATGCAGCTCCACCCTAATGATGTTCTTGCAATGTCACTGGGCTGCGTCCAGTCAGAATGAGGTGATGAATTATTCACAGGAGATTGGGAGGTCACTAAAGCGTGATCTCACACACACACACACACACACACACACACACACACACACACACACACACACACACACACACACACGCACGCCACACACACACACACACACGCACACACCGCACACACAACCACACACACACACACGCGCACACACGCCACACGCCACACACACACACACTACACACACACACACACACACACACACACACACACACACACACACACACACACACACACAAAGCCCACTGGGGCATTTATGCTGCTTAATTCTGGCAAAGAACATCTTCCAAAGCTGTATCCATGGTGACACATTTCTCTTTGACCGCTGACAGTGCGAGGAACGCAAATAAAGACAGCACATAAGGCGGATAATTGGATCTGTTACATTTATGTTGTGGCGAAAACATACATAGTGTCGTTCCTATCAGGTCAGGGAGATATGCACTGTAACACTCATGTTCTGTTGGCGTCCTGGGGACCCTGAACCCTCTTTAAAAGCTCAAACAACACGATTAATGTTTTCTCAGCATGGAATTTCATGACCTAAATTTAATGAGAATTGCTTCTAAACACAAATTTGAACTGATGACATGTTTCAGAAATCTGCCACAGAAAATGGCACATTACCTTTACTGGGGTGTCAGAGACCTCAGCAGTAAAACATGAATAAATATGCGGAGGCTTTGATATGCTTTGTTTGTGAGAATGGTTTGAGTATTACATAAATACCAGTTGCTGTTTTTTTTATTTAGTTTTTTTTACTTTTATAACGGTTTGTTCAGAAGAGGTCTAACGGGGAGTTATATCATCACTATATAAGATGATGTACATTTCTTTGCATATGAGTGACTTTTTGACAATCAATAGCCGTGTATTTGTTCCTTTTGTTCATAAATAGCCCATATAACATATAAAACATGAACTATTTCCTCATTTGGTGTAATCACAACGCCTTATTTACCATAAAGTGTTGTGATTACGGTAATCACAATGCTTTGGTAAACTTGCAAATGTGTTCAGTCTATGCAAAGGCTTCAGTACTTTTAGAACTTTAGAATATTTTAATATGTTTGAATAAAAGAAAAAAATATCAGAAGGAATTTAGAATTATTAGCAGTGGGGTGTGTGGGACCCCAAACACTGATGAAGCCAGTGTCAAAAAAACAAAACAAAAAAAACCTTGACCACCAAAATCTAATCAGTTCATCACTGACTCCCAATGGACATTTGTGGCAAATGTGAAGGGATTCCCTTGAAGAGTTCTCGAGATATCGCATTCACAATGCCAAAACCGCGTTTTGTTTGGTCACCACGACCTTTGACCTTTGTCAAAACCTTGGCGAGAGTCTGCATTAGCACAGCCACGAACACCATGTCAGCCACTGCCAGTTACAAGCTAACAAACAACATAAACAAATAACTACGCTTACCGTTCTGATACGTCTTCTAGTCGCCAATTTTGGTGCACAATAAAGTCCACAGAAGCTGCTGAGTCTGGGTTTGACTGAGGCTCAATCATGTGGCTGAGTCTCCCCAATGTTTCCGCTATCCATTGATACTCTGCTGTTTCACCTGTCAACCTAGCGTCAGCAGAGGTGGTGGGTGGGGGACAAGGCCTGATCGTGATTTCTAAATTAGGAAGTAAACGTATATGTGCTTCTAGCCTCCATTTTTTTTTTTTTTGTCACACTTTATGAGGGGAAACCATGTTAAACAAAATATTAATCATAAAAGGGTGTTTTTACATAGTTTAACACATCTGGAGAGGAACTTTAAAGTTATATCTGACTTAGTCCGACACAAATGTAAAGCAATAAAGGAAAGAAACCTTTGTTTTTGTATCAAATTTCATTCCAAAGTACATCACTTATTGCATCGTGTTACAAACCTTACAACAGAGCAGCTATTATTCAAGCATTAGGTTTGTATTGTGTAGCATCATTCAGCTCTGCAATTCAGATCAACTTTGCACTTTGTTAAGAAGGTGCCTTATTGCACTATAATCCAGCTTTCAGTATAGTGACGCATGGAAGTACCAAAAGGAGTAGCTCCTCATAGATTAAGACCCGTGCAATAACTTGTATATATATATATATATACACTGATGAAAACACCTACAGTGTGATCAAATTAAATAACCCTTCAGTTAATTGTTTTTGTGAAGTAGCATTTTCAGGATTGTAGTTGCCGTTGAAGTTGCACTGTTCTACATTACTGAGAGTTATTACGTTCTGCCTCTTCATGTATATAAATATATTGGAAGAAGATCTAGTTAATGCAGCTGAATACAACCCCGCCACTTACACAGCCCCCGGAAATTACCTCAAAGTTGAATCAACAACTCTCAGTTGTTGACAGTATGAATAAAAAAATGAACAAACTGAGCTACACAAAGTTAGGATTTATTGCAATGCTATTGTATTGGATTGCATTAGTTTGTACAGGTGTTATAATCTGATAACTCAGTGTAAGACATCATTAAAGCATAAAACTGGTGATGACACTTTGTTTTTCAAGCTTTCTTTAGTATCAGACACTGTGCTATTCTATTTTCATCAACAAATAATAACTCATTATTATTAAAAAAAAGAATCCATTGGTAAAGAAATTCATTAAGGTTTTAAAATCCTGTTCTCACTAAATTTACATTTTTCTTTTCTCCAGTGTAGTATCATTGTTATTATTTGCCATTTCATGTTCATTAGTCTCAGAGTTTCCAGCAGCAGAAGCAGGCCAAGTGCTTATCCACTAATAGGTGGCCCTCCTCCTCCTTTTTCTCTCCTCCTCACTGAAGGACTCTTTAGGGTTTTCCAGTCCACCACCAATCCTTTTCCTTGCTCCCAATCCTCCTGACCCCCTTTCTAGCCTAAATCCCTGACCTCTTTCTCACTTCACATTCTCTCTCTTTCCTCCTCTTCATCATTGCTCCCTCCTCTCGTCTGTTCCCACTTTCCGTACACCGGTCTCCTCTTTTATCTCACAGTCTTTCAGCCCTCCACTTCAAAAACTACATGTCCCTGTTTCGCTGTCAGCGTCTCCTCAGTTGTCATCCTCGTTGTGTCCATTGAGCAGGCCTGACTCCCAGCGCTGTACTAGAGGGGTCTTCTGCCTGGGGGTCCGCGGACTCAGGAGGACCTGGTTGTAGAGGGAATAGAGGACAGCAGGAGTAGGTGGTGACTGCAAGGTAAAAGTGGAGGTAGACAGAAAGTTGTATGTGATCGTGGGAGTAGAAAAAGAAAGAGAATTGAAGAGTAGAAACATCAGATGTGTGGGAGCAGGAGATGAGACCAATAAGCCAACACAGGAAAAAAAAAAAAGGCGCAAAAAGATAAAAAGAGAAGCATGAATTTATTTCCTCCAGAGGACATCCCTTTGGATGAGCATCATTAGCTCTGTAAGTCAAAGGGAGGTTAATGCGACTGTGATCCAAGGCCATGTTCAGGATGACTAAGTCAACAACTGAGGCCAATTTCTCCTGCAATCCTCCGTTTGTTCCTCAACTGTAATCGGGAACCAGGTCTGTGCCGAAAGCAGATAACCAACCAGCTGAGAGAAAGAAGGAGGGAGGGAGTGTGTGAGAGAGAGAGAGAGAGAGAGAGAGAGAGAGAGAGAGAGAGGGAGAATCGCATGTGACAGTGAGAGGAAAGGGAGCAAAATGTTGCTAATGCTAATGTCAAACTGAACCGTGCAGCTGAAACCCGGCATATCAAAGCCAAACTGAATTAAACAGCTAAAACCATGGAGCAGCACTCAACTCTAATCAGAGATAGCACACTTTCAAAGAGATGCGAGACCCACAAGGCAGGTAACACAAATCAGTGGGATTGTCAATTGACTTTCCTCTTTCTCTGCTATTGGCTGCCAACACACACACACACACACACACACACACACACACACACACACACACACACACACACATACACACACACACACACACAAATACCCACTCTGCAGACTCTGACTTTCCCTCCCTCTCTCAGTCTCAGGGCTGTTTGCCTTCTTGTCTTATCTATAAAGATAAGCTCCTTACTGTGTGTTCCGCATGTTATCAGATGTTTGTGGCCCATATTTGGTGCGGAAGAGATGCCTGACATCCTCCTTAGAGCCTTTCCTCATTGGACCATTGGCTGCTGAGAGACTGATTCAACCCCCAAAGCTACACTGCAGTTCATATACTGAGTGAACTCTTAGCTAAAGACACTTCCTGATTGTGGAACCTGATATCTCCTTAGCTGAATTCGAGGGAGACTCAGGAAGGTGATTTGCCTACATTTTCATGTCCTATACCAAGTGTGCCAGATAGGTAGGGTTGATGTGTTAATCTATAGAGTAAGAAATACTTAACAGATGTCATTGTGAAGCCTGATGTTTTTCCACATGGTCAAATTTTCAGAGTCTCATAGGAAATAGTAGCATAAAAGAAAGTGAACTGTCTAAATGTCAGTGCAACGGGAAGATTGGCTTTACTGACTCACCTCTGTCCTCCCCTCTTCAGCCTGGGGCGGCGGCCACACGGCAAACTTGCCAGCAGACTGGTGTGCTGCAAGAGAGAGGGAATAAAAAGTGGGTGAGGGCAGGAAGAGCAAGGCAAAGGTGTTCCTATGATTTTGTTTGTGCTCCACACTGAGAGCAATAAAGCCTCCTTGAATCAAATTATGAGTGAAGGAGCAGAGAGAAATGAGAGGAGACAGAAACGAATGCAGAGGGAATTAAGGGAAAGAATTGTTTTGTTGAACATGAACATGGTGAAATAAAAACAGAAAGCAGGCACCAGAAATGAAAGGATATAAAAAGGCTTTTACAACTCATTGTATATAAAACAATACACAATTGTTCATTTCCCAGCACTGAGTCACGGTCATTCACATTCTGTAGTGGCACACCCTGGTCAGTTTGTCAAACAGTTGTTAAACTATGACGTTCGGTGACGCTTTCATTCATATACAGTTGCAAAGCAAGAAGAAAAAAAATATATTGGCAACCTTTCCTGCCAACAAAACACACACAGTCAAACATACTCGGTCATTAGTCATCAACCTTTTTTGTTTGATTTACTCAACATGCTCCAAATAGTTGACCTTTTGAAATACTTTAAAAATAGATGTAATGTAACACTAATATAGTATACATGTGCATATTGTTAAAATAAGTTTGCTCTACACCTGAAGTAGAAGCTAAACATTTATTTAGTCTTTGGTTATAGCTTTTTTAACTGCATTACTTTTTGCTATATTTCAACTTTTTTTTTATCTATGGCAAACTATTCCAACTCTTCAATAGTTACTTTCAGATGTTTCTCGCCACTTATCCAACTCTCTTAGCTCAATATTTCAACTGTTTATCCTTTACCTTTAGCAATTTCCAAATGTATCCCTTACCTTCGGCTAGGTCAGTCATTTATCCATCCATTTAAGCTGACTTGTTGAACTGTTAATGCGTTACTTTTAGCTAACCGTGTGGACTTCTCTGCTTGCTGATTAACTGGTTTTCATGCTATCAGTTGTCCCAGGTGTTAAAGCTGACTCAATATGTGAATATATTTGTTTAATCAAATCGTAATATATTTTGTTTCAGATTGACTTCACTAACTTTTCACGTACCCCCTGGCAACGGGAGAATTATCAAGTACCCCTGGTTGTGAGTCACTGCTGTACAAGACACGGTGGCAGCAAAGTTGAAATCACACAGAGATATACATAAATAACCCGTCCTTACAGAAGGCTCTATGGGCAGCACTGTATATGACATTTACTCATGTTGTCCAAAGGCTCTACACTAATCATATATCACCATGACAACCAAAAACAAGTTGTATGCACTTTCTGAATGCTGAATTTAGACTTCATCTCAAAATTGGACTCTTCCACTGTGCTCCTTTCTTGCTGACACAATAGTGTTGAGATATGACTCAGGACTTTTCCTCACCTCAGCTTCAATTAATATGACAGACTAGATGCTACATTTATTGTGGAGTTACAGAACTTTATTTTCTTGTCGGCCACCTTATGGTCGCCGCTGCAAAGTTATTATTAGTGACAGCAAACACTGGTTTTGAAAGTTGTTTAGAGGTTTTCCACTGACCATGAGAAAAATGAAATAATGTGCTCACTGGGCCGTTTCAGGGGGTTTTCATCATCTCACCGCAGATATAAAGATTACACACATATCGACACTCACAAGCTTCCACATACACACACACACACACACACACACACACACACACACACACACACACACACACACACACACAACACACACACACTCTAACACACACACACAAACACATTGACTGTATGAGCTTGTGGGCACAAGCAGAATCAGTTTCACCCTTTCCAAACATGCTTTGACCCTTAAACTAAGGCTCAGTGCTACACTTACCTGCTGAGGGTCCAGTTGCCCACCTGGGTGATGAGCCAGGTAAGTCAGGAACAGTCAGTCCATTCAGTGAGGAGGGAGACAATGAGGGACTCTGTCCTTCAGAGCTCGCTGACCTCCTTCCTCCTCCTCTTTCTCCTCCAGTTGCACCCCCTGTTCCCCCATACAGGCTGATCCTCTGCTTGCGAAGCTCCTTATCCCTCTCTTGAGCCTCCCGGATATCCTGCTCCACTTTAACTAAATTTGTTGAGGAGCGCAGCTTGAAAAAGGGATTCTCCTTAGGTGCTTCTTCCTCCTCCTCTTCCTCCTTTTCCTGCTTTCTCCCGTTAATCCCTCCATGTCCTCCTGTCAGGGATGATGAGATGTTTGGACTTCCAGAGTCGACTGTGGTGACAGGCTGTGCCTCTCGTCTGGCATGGTAGAGCTGCTGTGCTGAGACACTCAGGTTATTCTCTAGGATGGTGACCTGGCGACCAGTCCCCTCAGAGACGCCCGGTCCTCGGGGAGTTGAGCTGGTGGAACCCCCTCCTTTGGCTAAGATGGGGCTCTCTGTGGGATTTAGCAGGTCTAGGCTCCGTCTCCTCTCCACATGTGAGCCTCCTGCAGTGGATATCTGTGATGAGATGTCCTCCTCCAGGGTTGAAATGTCACTGGCTGAGGACCAGGATGTGGTTTTACACCTGGTTGAGACAGTCAAAGTTGAGTCACTGGGCTTCTGAAAGGCCTCAAAAAGCTGCTTCCTCTCCTTCAGTTGGCGAACTGTGCCTTTGTCATAGAAACCTGGAACTTTCCCAAGCTTGACCAGATCCTGTTCCCTCTGGGCCTCTTCATGGATCTCGTGCTCCATTTTTTTGCCTGCAAATTGCCTGTCTTTGCCTTGACACCTCTCAGTGGCGAGAGACTGGCAAAGAACAGTTTTTCTTAGAGGAATCTCTACATACTCTGGGGAGGTGGGTAGATTTGGAAGCCCTCTGGACCTTCTCAGGCTGTGTTCACGCTCCACAGCCCGTCGGATCTCCCTCTCGATGGGAGTCTCTTTGGGGGCAGTTCCTGGATTGCCTGTAGACATGGTGGTGTTGCCCTCCAAAGTGCTGCATGGAGAGAAGTCTGCTGACACTCCACTGTCACTCTGGCTGTCATCACACGAGTCACTCTCCATTCTGACGTGTTTGCTGTGTTTAAAAGGCACACCACAGCTATATTTTTCTGTCCTAAGCTCTTGTACTTGGACTGTTTTTGAATATCTTAACAGTCCTCTGCCATGTTGCTGCCTGGCCGCCTTGCTCCTTTCAAGTCCTCTCTCTTTCTGCCTTTCCACTCCACCTGTTTGCTCGCTTTCTCCCACTGTCCTTTCCCCCACCCTACTGTGCCTTTCTCTCACAGCTACAACACAACCAAAGCCTTGGGAAGCTGTCCCGCCCTGATTGGTCAGCTCCATGGCAACAGTCGACAAAGGTGGAGAGCCTTGGCCCTGCACCTGTTGTGCGGCTTCCTGGTTTGCTCCCCTGGGGGTAAGTCCACATTGGCTTTGGGGCAACAGCTCACCCTGCTGTTTGGCTGAGGGAACTGCAGGCAGGGCTGAGGCCGGGGCTTGTTCAGTGGAAAGGGGGATGTTGGCAGTTTGGAAAGGCTTGCTTCTGATGTCTAGTGTATCACACTGCTGCTGGCAACATGTAATATCCACCTTCATTTCCTCTTCTTCCTCACTTTCATCAGCAAAAGGAGGGGAACACACACTGTATGCATCACCTGAGTTGTTAATGTCAGAGGGAGAATGGTGAACATCCCCTGATGTGTTATTTTCACGTTCACTGTAGCCTAAACCATCTGGTAAGAAGTGCAGCTGTGTGTCCATCTCATCTGCTGTCCCATTTTCCTCAGATGCTGAATCTACCTCTTGATCAACTAGTTCAATGAGCTCCTTATCAGGAGACAGAAGATCTTCTGCAGGGTCTGAGAAGATCTCAACATCACTGAGGCATTCGGCTACCTCGCCCTCAAGGCTGGAAAAGGCCTCTTTCTCAAGGCATTCTTCTGTTGATAAGGCACTGAGTGGAAGAGGTGGTGGTGGTGGTGGGAAAGCATCCTCACATTCATCAGCAAGGTTTTCAGATGCCTCCCGAGCCTGTGATGTTTCCAATTGTTTTTTGGGAACTTGTTCTAATTCTGTCACAACTTCTTGTGTCTCCCTGGGGGTTGTTGATTCTTGATTCTTTTCCAATTTGGTTGCAACAGCTATTGTGGTTCTTGAGAGTGTTTGGTTCCCCTGCAGAGTTTCGTCTTGAGCTCCAGGCTCCAGGACATCTATGTCTTCCTCAGGTTCTGCCCTGGGAGCCTTTTTGTCTTGCATAGAAGAGCTGTGGCTTATGGCTGCATCCACTTCACCCTGTGCCCAGGACTCATTGACCGACCTGTCTAGTGAGCTGACAGGACACTGTTCCTCCCAGGCCACAGGCTTTGTTGCCATGGTAACAAGTCTGCTAATGTAAAACCGTTTGGAGCAGTCAGAATGTTTGGCCTCCAGCCAGTCAGTCTGAGTGAAAGCAGAGGAACACAGAGGAGAGAGGGGAATAACAGAGTGATTATCAGGGTTCAGCAACAAACATGGCCACCCATTTTATATCGCATTATTTCAGCAGCTATTTATTACAGCCAGGAGAAAGGAACATTTTAAAAGAAAATTATTATGAAAAGACAAATTAAATAAAAACATAAACTTCTTTCTCTAAGCAAATGGCATTTGCATTCACATGGCAGGGCTTTTTTGTCTGCTTTATGAGTCAAATACCAACTTTTGTTTAAGCCATCAGAGGTTGCAATAACTGTGTGCTACAGCAATGTATAATCCAAATACAGACGGGGAACACTTAATGGAAGATCTGATTAAATGAGTGGACAAACAAAACAAAAGCAGATAAACAGGTCACATGAAGTCAAAGAATTGTTTAGTAAGTATGAAAATGAGGATGAATCAGATGCTATTGCCTCCACAGTCCTCATATCTCAACATAATTAACCACATCCGTGGGGTTTTGGAGTGATTTGTCAGCCTGGGCTCTCCACCACCACCATCAAAACACCAAATGAGGGAATATGTTTCAGACACATGGTTAATACCTCCAGTAGAGACTTGGTGAATCTATGCCAAGGAGCACTGAAGCTTTTCTAGAGGATTACTATGACACTTTATGTTGGTTTTTCTTTGAATTTTGTCACCCATTTGTGTGTCTGTGCAAAGAAATTGTGCATGCTAGCTTGTGCAGGATTAGAGCAACAAAGATTCAGCTAGCATGAAGTGCATTCATCTTTTTAATGGCATACTGAGTGCTCTAGTTGTTATATAGACAGGCAGTCTGTTTATAATGCTGTGCTTGGCTTTGGCTGCAAGGTAGTAGCTGCTGTGCTCCACTCCCTCCGCAACGTATAAAGTTTTCTGCTGAACACACCTTCCTTTAATCAGCTTACAGGCTGGGGAGTAGCTCAGTACCACACACACACACACACGCAAACACACACACATATAATCTGAAGTAACAATAGGATTGGCTGCAGGGTATCCTGACTACAGGGAGGTCCAGGTCCTCCAATATATATTTTTCTTCAACACACACACTTTTCTATTTCAAACATGCTTATTATCAATATTACTGCCCTCCATACATCTCTCTTATACACACACACACACACACACACACACACACACACACACACACACACACACACACACACACACAGAGACAAACTCCCATCCCCATCCACTGTGATCCTTGCCAAGCCTCTCCAGGCTGCGCTCCAGCACTGTGACTGATCATTAAGGCAGTGGTTCTCAAAGTTGGGTAAAAAAGGATAATAATTTTTTTTCACTGTAATTCAATCCATAAGTAGCACAATGACAGAATGTTTTACTATTTTGATCATGGGTTTCAAACACTTTCTGTAATAAAACATCTTAAAGAAAAAGTCTGGGACAAAATCTTATCAAATGGTCAGTTGGGGTCCTTGACGTGAAAAGGTTTCAGAAGCACTGCATTAAGGGGAATGTAGTTCACATCACTGGGGATGACTAGTCTCTGATGAACTAGGATGGATAGATAGATAGGTAAATAATCAGTTACAGCACATCTCCCACTTGATGTAAAGATAATAGGGACTGACAGCATGACATGGCAGGAAGAATGGGGAGCACTGTGGTAATAATAATAATGGCAGAGCATGTAGATACCACGGCAGAAGAATGTGGCTCAATGAGGGTGAATTAGGATAAGAATGGTTCGGGAACAGTGAGTCATGAGTACTATGACAAGCACTGTTTACAATCAACAACGGTTTGTCTGGGGAACTGCTAGTCACTATATTTAGTAAAATTGTGAATGGACACAATGGATTCAATGCCCAGTTTTATGAAATGTACTCTGGCTGCTATCAGACTGGCTGTTTTCCCGTGGGGCACGAGTGGGAGAGAAGGTGGGGGGTTCGGGTAGTTGGCATTCCCACAATGTTATCACTGTGTCTGAGTGAGACAAAGCCTCAGCTCATTAGCTGAGCTTTATAGATCCCAAACACAGAAAACAATTGGAGAACACTATATATGTTCAGGTATTACCTGGGTAAAGTACTCCCAGCCTTGTTGTGGAGTAGTTCAGACCTATATATATATGTATATATATATACATATATATATATATATATATATATATATATATATATATATATATATACTGGCAGAGAATTTACAACATGAAGTTTCATTGTGAAATAAAGCATGAAAACGAGCATTTCACAGTGAGCAAGCCAGTGCAAATCTCTGCTTAAAAAGTCTTATTCATGCACACCTGCTAACTCTGCTGAAAATCCTGCTGAAAACAAACAAGCTTAAATCAATTAATACAATGATCCTGCAATGCTACAGCAGTGAAACAAAGTCCTCATTTATACTGAGGCAATGGTAATGTAATATACTTTGAGTGTAAACTCTGGCATGCCCTAATGAGATATTTCCCTTATGAACATTTGCTTTAACAAACTAAAGACATTATATATCAAATATGACAAGCTGTTTTTTTCTTATTTTCTAAGATGCACTGAACAAGTTTAACCAAAGATTCTATCCAACTCTCTCATTTGGTTAAGTAAGGTTGCAAGTGATTGCGGATTAAAACATTACATAACAGGCTTATGTTTTGCTCATTATCTACAAAGGGGCTCACTTTATCAAAAGAACAGCAAAATCATGATCATCATTAAAAATACATCTGCGGCGGGCCTTACAAATAAACTTGCCCTCCTTTTTGGGGTCAGCAGTGTCCTGAGGTAGTATAAGATCTAAGGGCATTTGACAAAAAATCTAATGAATTTAAATAAATGCAGCCAACTTCATCTCTAATTAGAATTAGTTCTGCTGCGATCTAATGGTTGCTGACATAGTTCTTTGCACATTTTACAGTCACTTACTTCGATATGCTTTAGTCAATGTGGCAAGAAGTGATGCATGTAAAAGCTGGTCTCTACAGGTTTGGCTGAATCATTTCTCTAACATTCTTGCTTTCTATTGTGCCTATTATTTACCAGAATGGTTTCACATATGTGTACAAAGATTTCAAGTTCAAGAAAAGAAGAGCAATTCACAGAATACTTGAATATACAGCCGCACATACCTGTTAACAGAATGCTTTGAGGATGCTCTCCGAGTGACAGACACACATTTCTAAAAAATACACACGTTTCTTATTTCAGGCCACCATTGTTTAATCAACACAAAAGGAAGCTCTCTTTCCTCACAGCCCTAGTGCCTTGCTGCCTGTATCTCCTCCCCGGTGCACACTAACACCCTCCAAACATCATTTGTGCACGCCCACATTTGCATGCCATGCTCACACGAGCAAACATTCACTAATACGTACACAGGAATGAGCATGTGTGCATGCACAAAGACGTGTGCTTGAGGCTTACCCTATTGTTGTGGATTTGAAAATGTATAGTACTAATCCAATTAGTGAGCAGCACGTTAATTATTACACCGTGCAAGTGAATGAAAGAATGTACCAGAGGGATGAGAGGGATGATGTGATTATATCGCTGCACACTTTAATTCTGTCCACTTATATCTGAGATAACATGCTTTAACATTTTCTGTTACACTTACAGTAGATATAATTACAAACATCTATGTTCAAAGAATGTTTTCAACAACAATCCAAGGTGTAAACTACATTAGAGTAGAATAAACATTAGTGGACTAGTAGAATAGTCTATTTACTTTTTAAGTTTTCAAGTTTTTTTCATATAGGCCAAAATTACAATTCACAAATTTGCCCTTAAAATGAGCCTATGTAGCTTTTGCCAAACATTG